TTAACGCAGGAGGAACCAGTTCTCCTCAATACTTGCCCCCCCAACCATATTTCTCAGCCTGCTCTCAGTCCCTGAGGATCCCTGTGGCAGACTGCACCACCTTCCTCTGTTTCCCATAAATTGCTTTTCGGAGCTGGAGAGATGACTCCTTTCAAATATACATGACTCAACCTGTAGATTTTTATGTCAGCTCAATCCTTTCATTGATTTTTCTGTGGCAAGATGGGGACAGTGTGAATATTTGGTCAGGTTTTTCCATTAGCAGCAAAGAATGCACAAGTCTCTGGACCCGGGAGAGTCACCTTACAGATAATCAGTTGTGTAACACAAACGTTCTTTTCTTTTTGGCGCATCTCTAAGCTGTAGTTTTCCATATGTATCCAAGCATTGCTGGAATTGTTTTCAGCTTCAATTATCAGTCAGGCAACAAACTAATTTGCCTGGTAATCAGTTCCAAAAGCAGCCAGCACTTCTATTTCCACTTTCAACCTTAGCAAAATTGAAAAACACGGCATCTGTCATTTACAAGTTTCTTACACCCTCATCTAGATGTAGACAGAATAAACAAAGGAATCTTTTGAGGTCAAGTTGGGAAGTGCAACAATAAATAAGGAAACATGGAGCAAAATATAAAAGTTAAAACTTCTATGTGCATTTCAAGAGTGACATGAAGGCTGCTAAAAGAATTCAGCTTTCTCTTTTGGCAAAATAGAGGCTTATAATAAGCACCGGAGTTATACAAGATTTTATCTGCTTTTTCATTTGCTCTTTTCCCTTACACAAGTCCCTGTTGTTCACAATTTTGGTTTTCCTTTTTATTTTGAAAATGGCATGGTTAGAATTCTCTCTAACATCTAAAACAGAAGTTTTAATGGATTTTATTGGAAGTTGTGTAAGGTTTTCCGAAAATGTTAGGATTTTTCTAAGGTAAGGAAAGACTAGATCAACAGCTAGTTTTATAAATGGTGTTTTCAAGGAGGTTGAACCTACAGGTATGCACCTTAGAGGAATTAGCTGAAGAAATAACTGAAATCTTATCAGTGAAGTTTGAAGACTGTTGAAGGTTGAATGCAACTTTCCTTTTTCATCCTACTTTTAAAGAAAACTGTATGATTGCTAGCCTAACTTAGTGCCCAGAAAATTACTGGAAAAAATAACTTATAAAATATCCAGAGGATGATAAGTAGCAGGGATTTCTGGGGAGCAGTCTACATCACACAAACCAGTCTCTCGGTGGGAGAGTAACGAGAATGGGCAGCACAGGTCTGTAGACTCAGGAGACTTATGTAGACCTTGTGGGCATCAGTTGTTTAAGAGGAAGTGTCTTTCCTTTTTGAAGAATCTGTAGTCCAAGGGGAAATCAGCAGTAGTTCAGCATCAAACCGAAAAGATGTATTAACTGTAGGACTTAAAATGGTTCTGTCCAGAGTGTGTTAAAATTAATCATTTTCATTAACTGTTCCAGCAATAGACTGCTGAGTATGTTCATTGAGGTTTGCCAGTCTGAGAAGGGCTGTTCCTACTGTGAAGGTTAGAATCCAGAATGGCCCTTGAAAACTGAAAGAAAAAAAACTAAAATTCACTAAGGGCAGGGACATTTGGCCACTGTTGGTTATGGGGAAAAGAATTTCCTTTTTTTCCCCAAATGATGTAAACTGTCGTGGGATGTATAATAAGCGTGAAAAAAGCTTTTCCACTCTATGAAGCAGTGATGAGACTTGTGCTGGGTCACTGTGGTGTGAGGCTTAGGTACTAAACCTGAAGAAAGATGTGGACTAATTGAAGAGAATCAGGACAGAAGCATCAAAAATTATTTAGAAATCTAGAAAACACAAGAGAACAGGAAACATGGAAAGGACTGACTTTATACAGTCTAAAGAAGGTAAGATTAAGACATGACAGGTATTAGGAGTTCTAAAATGCTGATGCAGAAAAGAAATATTCTAGCAAGGAAGTTGCAGTCTTGAATCTCAGAGAGGGAAACTTAGGCTAGGTGCTAGGAATACTAATACTTTTGATACTAAGAATAGAGAAGTACTGAAACATGACTTATGGGGCTTGTGGACTCTCCATTACTAAAGGTTTTTAAAAATAGATGAGAAGAACTGTGAAAAATAGCTAAACTAGAGTTGATCCTGCCTCTAGGTAATACAGTGGACTAGCTGGATGATCCCTCCCATCTCTGTTTTCTATTACCTTTCTTTTTCAATCAAGTGTACATCCCAAGGCTCCAATTACATGCGTTTTCACACTTTCCCCTCGTGTTTAGCTTTCAGGAGGAAGCACTCACTCTCCCATATTAATGACTAGACTTTCTACTAGTTTTACCAAGGCATCCTCAGAAGAACCCAGATACTAGGTACATATGCAAAGCAAACATCAGTTTTCATAGATGATTGTTAAAAATTGGAGCACCATTACCAGAATTAGCATCACTGAATAGTGTTTAGTCATTCCATTGTATTAAAGTAAACCCCTCATTTAGAAGGTATTCTGGCTTTCTTATTATTTTAATTAATTAAATTATTTGCAGTGTAGTCTAAAATTTTTTGAGTCTCTGGGCCACAAGAGGAAAAAAGTAATTTTAGCGTCTGGATTTCCCCATTTTGATCCCCAGTAGGATCCAGTAAGTAACAGTCGGTTTTATTTTTGATTATGCATTATTGATCATGCCATCTCTTTTTATGACTCTGAAGTGATTTATATGCTGTTGCAGAAGGTAGAGCCGTATTGTCTGTCAATGTACACGTTGCTTGGATTTCTCATTGTATTTGCAAAAATAATAAAAATTCTGCATCTTAGAGTTCTTGGTCAAAAAGTTCCATTATCCTCTTCTGGAACATGGTCTTATTTGAAGAAAAAGCATACCAAGCACATCTATTCTATTATTATTTAAATTATTCGTCTGTATTATTGGTTTTGAATATTTATTAGTTTTTTGATAACCTCTTTCATTATTCATAAAGGGTAGCCACACAGTTTGATGAAAAAAGCAGTACGATGAAACCTTATTTTGCATAGCTGGCGTCTTTCATACAAACTGTTCTCCAGTGCTTTTTTTTAATGAAGACCTGCAAGGTTCTGGGAACCTCTGTCGTGTTTCTTGCAACATCCTCTCCCTATTGGTTTCAGCCGGAGGGGAAACCATCTAGCACCTCACCACCCTATATGCCGTAGCATGGTTAGGGATGAAATAGTAAATATCCCCCAAGAGCGATGGAAATGAAGAGGCAAAGGTCAGGAAAGAAAGATGTCTTTTCATACAAGATATGAAAAACATATGAAGGATTACTGACAGAGAGAGAAAGAGAATAGAAGGTTGGTTTAGGTGATTTATAGGATTTTCTTTTGAAGCCCACAAGACTCCAAGGAGGTAAGGGCAATTGCTGTACTGACTGCACTATCTGTGTCTATGTCGAGTGTCTGACAGGAGTCAGCATCAAATGTTTCACAGAAAGGCATGAAACGCCACAGTAAGCAGATTGGGGAAGGGTTATTTTCATGTGCTAGGTCTCATCCTCATCTCTAATATGTAAGTGTTTGCTTAAACCCTGAGGTATAAGGTTTAGTGTTTATTCTGAAAGGTTTCTCATTGCTACAGATACGGGTTGCTGTTCGTGTTCTTGTCATCAGTATACCTACAAAGTACTCTTCAGGCCTGTTGATAGATACTTGGTCTCAGCAGCATTTTGCATCAGTGATCTTTTAGTGTGATAATACAGCTTTTGTGTAGGTGGATGCTTCTGTTTATTGCTTTTGATTGTGACATGTTCTACCTTCATTGACTATTCCCTTTCTCTTGTTTTATATTTTTGACTCATGGCTCGCTCTTCTTCACTTGCATTACTATGACGACTACTAAAACTTAGAATATCTTTTGACCAACTGCCTTGTTTTTATTAAATCCTCCACTTCATCTCTGCCAGACTATGTAGTTAATTTGGCATTTTAATGTATCTGACTTCTTGATAATTGCACTAGTCTCTTGTGTGATACAAGTCCTTTGCCAAGACAGCCTGCTTAAAATTTGAAATACAAAATGGGCCACAGGAAAGGTCAGTTTTTGTGTTAATATTGTAGATCAGTGTGAAGCTTGCTTGACTCCGAAGAGCCTGGATTTTAAAAAAAACCGTGATAGTCTGGTGTAGGATTATTGACCAATTTCTCTTTGTTTCCAGCTGAGCTGCCAGGATCATCTGCAATCAAGCTCTCGTCCTTGCGTGATCTTCCAGCTCAGCTGCAAGAGTTGTACCAGCAGGGCTTTGTCTTGGCTGCTGTCCACCCTTTCGTGCAACCAACTGATGAAAAAGAGAAAACTCCCCAGGAACAAATCTTCAGGGCTGTGCTTATCAAGAAAACAGAAAGGTAAAGCACTTCCACTGAACTGGGTTAAAAATAGACAATGTGATTTCCTACTGAGTTGTGACCTACATCAGGAAATTATAGCAGTTTACTGTGCAAGACTTGACTTTTTTTTTTTTTCCTGGGCTTGAATAGGCTTAACATGTTCTTCATGTTTACAATTCATCTGCAGTTTGGCAGATGACTTGGAGAATAACAAATTGAAATATGCTGTGTATTTTGGGATATGTTGTCACGAGAGGCAAACAAACAAGCCCTATGCCTGACAATTTGTGAGGATGGTCCTGTCAGTACCCCATAAGAATTTATTAGATTAAATTAAGACAGAAGAAATATTTGCTTAGAAAAGGCTTATTTTGTGTTTAGGTCATTACAGTTAATGCAATTAATTTCAGAAGGGCAGTGCTAATGCATACTTCTTAAATTTATGTGTAGAATTTAGGCACTTCTTTCCTCTAAACAATACAAGTTATTTTAATTTTTCAGTCAGTGCAAACTCCTTAAATAAAAAGATGACTCTCCTGCCTTGTTCAGTCTCTTAAAATGTATTAAGAATGTTTTACATAATCAAAGTCTGAAGATGAATAAACAAACAGGAATGCTGTTCTTTTATGTTTTAATTCTGTTTATTTAAAAAAAAAAATAGAAATTGCTGCAAAATAGCCCAGAAGAAAATTAAAATGTGAATATTTGTAAATGTATATTTATGATTTCTAGTTACTGATTTACAACATAATTTAATTTAACGTTATCTTACTACTCACAACTCTGCAGCTACCTGTGTTTTTGCAGCCATTCTGTACAGTTCTCCTATGTTAGTTGTATTACCCAGTCTACCCCTTCTTACAGTGACCTACGCTGAAGGCTAGGGGATAATTAAACCTCCATTTGCTGATCCTAGTCCCTCTCTTCATGCTGATACTTGAAGGAAAGGATGTAACTGTTTTAGACTCCTCTTTAAAATTAAAGTAAAGCCACCATTCAATTTGCTACAGCCTGGTAATCAATTGGTAGCAATTATGGACAGGGTTGAACTTCAGTCTGTGACCTAAGGAAAAAGTTTTGCATTTCATTAGCAAATATATATAGGCATTAGGTGTTGCAGCCAATTTTAGCTTCTAAAATAACTCTCAATTTACCTTGACTTACTTTTAGTTTTATTAATATAGACCTTCATGCTGGCTTGCTTGATATTATTGTTTAAAGAGTTTCCAGTTTTATTGTCAAAACATAAACTGTGTGGCTGAACAGTAGACTTCTTGAGTAATACTGGGCTGAGCTTGCCTGGTTTTGGGGCCCTGCTTTCCCTGCCTAGAAAATACCCTACTGCAAATAATGAAAGTGTTTACATGCATGAATTTGCAATGTTAAGTAAGTGCTTCAGCACTTCTGCTGGGTTGGGATCCAAGGGATCAGCATCTTCCAGGGCTGAGCTGTGAAGACATGTCAGGGAAAAGTGGCATCCTTCTCGGCCGAGCGATACGGTCTTCAATCCAGAGTGCTCAGTGTGTCGCAGCTGTCTCATACTGGAGCCAGTAGTTTACATCTGTGCAGAATGATTGTGAAAGAGTACAAAATCTTAATTGCCTGCTCACTCACTTGGGTGCCAGTGTTTCACACACTTTAGACAGCTGTAAATGACTATACAAAATTGAAGACAGTAGAGAGCCTTGAACCAATTATATTTCCTTTCACATTCACACTCCATTTCTTTGCATTCCCTTATCTGTCATTTCTGACTGCCTAGGGAAGTGGAAGAGACTTGGTGCAGTGGGAAAAAACAGTCAACTACCAGAAAGGCAAATGACATCAGTTTGGTGTTTCACGTCGTTTAAATGCTCCTGAGTTTGGCTGAGAGTATGAGAGGAGCTGCTTCCATAGTGTATGGATGCAACGAATGTTTGCATTGCCAAGCAGAATGAAGAGAGATGGGTGTTGCACAGATTTCAGATGACTATGGCCTGCATGGAGACCAGCTGTATTTGAACCGTGAGTTTATCCCATTCCACTAACAGCTGGAGAGAAAAAATATGCAACAGTAGGAAAAAAAAAGACATACTGTTGAATTTTTTTAATTAGCCTTTCTCATTATACTGCTCATAAAGAATAAATCATACTTTTTTTCACTAAGGACTATCAGATCTCTGGCATCTGTAGGCTGTCTCTGTATAAAACAGTTGAACTCTTGGGTAGAAGTTAAGGTCTGCTTAGGATATTTGTTGATCAGATGAGCGTTTATTTCTGTTATAATATTTTAGGAGTATAAGCAGTCCAGCTACAGTTGTAGGATCACTAGTAACATCATTTATGCTCTGAAGTACAAAGTGGTCCCCTGCTCTTTTCTGTAATGGTGGTGCCAGGCATTCATGGGGAGGAGTTATAAAAAACTCTATACCTTGGTGTAGGGCCCACCCTCAGGCTTCCTGGGCATTTTCTGCAAAACACCTGAGGCTGTAGCTCCTTTCTTAGTGCAGGTGTTTCTCCAGGGATGTCTCCAATACTATATGTTTCATCGGTCAGTTCTCTGGCAGGTGCCAGGTGTGGTTTTTCACCTTGCCATTTTTGTTGCCTGGATGGAACAGAAATGAAATTGTTGTGTTAGTGCTTTTTTGGTACAGTAAAGTCAATTCTGTGTATACAGAGACAGAACTGAACACTTGGAGTAGTCTTTAATCAGTGTTGTGCCTTTATATGTCAGTTTTATGTTTTAAAATTAATACTATTGAGTCACATTTTGAGGGCTTGGTTTTATAGCACTGCCTCTCCAAAGGTAGGAAAAGGCTATACTAGCTGCAGCAGATGATGTACTTCAGGAACTACATGCTGCTTCTATCGCTGAGATTTGCAGTGCCTTAATTTGTTCAAGAATAAAATGGAAAAGGTAGTGCTTAGGCATGTTATGCATTAAAACTCATGGAGAAAATACCTAGTAGTGTTATTTCTCCTATTTTGCCATTGCCCCAGAGTTTCAAAATAGTGTGAATTTGCAATGTCATTTTACATTTAAGGTGACTTTTAAAGACAGTATGATAGTTTTGTGTTTAATCTGTATTGGTATCTCTGTGGCTTCATTATCTTAGTTATCTAATAATTTCTGGAAAATAAGGAAGTAGAAGTCATTCCTACTCTAGGACATTTGAGGAAACGCATTCCTAACATATGTGGAAGCTGTAAATGTTGAAAAGCAAGGTTTGTCCCTTGGAAATGTTAGGGAGAATATGAAAGTAAAGGACAGATTAATTTTTTTAAAATCAACAGTACAATTGTTTACACTGCGAAAAGTGTCATGTTCAGTTAAAGTAAATGAAGTAAATATAGGAGTGTTTAATTCTTTAGAGGCACTGGGCATGAAGGTAGTCTACCAAGTAGCTGAAGGACTCTGCCATTGCTCTCATTAAATTTCATATAATAAATTTAAATACTTCTGTAGCACCTAATTGCATTGTGCACACTAACTGGTTGATTGGAAGTGGTTTGGAAGTCGAATAGATAAAGGAATAATAACTTAAGGGCTCCTGTGAGTACTTTCTTTCTCTCTTTCTCTCTCTAAATTTAAATTGGCTTCTTAATTAAAAAGCAATTGACTGTGCTGAGTTCTGAGGTACTGGCGTTTCTTGGAGAAGACATCTCATAAAAAAATATGCAAAGAGAAATCTTCAAGCCCAGGTTTTTACGGTTTTTTTTTGCTGAATGTAGGAAGGGCTCCAGGTGTGAAGTACAGCCCCTGGCCTGCTGGTTCACGTTGATTCACGCTTGAGAAATGTTTTCACACTGATTTACACTTCTTGAAGACGAGAATCTCAGGAAAAGGGATATATGGTGGTACCCTGGAAAGCGAGAATGTGTGACAGCGTATCTCTCCTGGTGGAAGGGACAGGGGGACGTCCGTGCATTTGGGAGGTTCTGGGTAACCAAGATAAGGAGAGTAGCATGTATGTCGCTTATGTTCCCCTGAGGAACAGAGGTCGTTAGTTCTTCGTGTGTGTAATAACCTTTCTCTCTTTGCCCTTTTATTTCCGTACTCTCTAGTTTTTAATATAACAATCTCTGTATAGGTGTCTTGTGCATGTTACTATTTCAGACATCTTGTGGCTGTTGCAGAATACCTATTCCCTGCAAAGAAATTGCAATTGCAGAATCAGCCTCTGAACAAAATTGTAACAAAACCATAGCACAAAGCTACTTTAATTTATTCCCAGCTGCCTGTAGAGTGACACCTCTGTCTGGTATCTTAATGTTTCAAAAATCAATGTCAATTAAAATGTTTTAATTTCCCTTTCTAAATACTGTGCACCAGAAAGCAAGCTCCATTCTCTTCCACTCGGAAAAATACATGTTCCGGGCTCATAAACTGTCTGCTTAAAATAGTTTTGATGTGTTTGCAGATGCTCCATTTCACCACAGTCAAGTGAAGGAGGGGATATAACTTGAATTCCAGAGAGGTCTTTCTCTCTGTTGTTCCATGTATGTCTCAGGACATACCTTTCTACAGGTTTTGCCTCCAATCAATAAAGCAATCAGCAGAAGAAACATTGCCATGCAGAAGTAGACAAAGTAGTAAAATCTAAGAATAATTTTTTTTAGAGTAGACTTCTATGTTTACCTCAAACAACTTTGCAGCTGTTTTCCCTTTCTGTAAAATAATGAGGTGTCAGGTGTTCCAGTGATTCACTTGGTGAGATGATTCTGATTCTATTTCTACGATTTCCCTATATCCATTAGTCCCGATGAAATGCAAACTTTCATCACTTGGCCAAAAATAATTCTATTTATCTGCAAAGGAATTCGACAGACTGAGTTCAAAGGTTTAATAGTAAAACAGGATTTTTACAGTTTCTTTTTTTTTTGCTGGTATGCAACATGAATTCCAAGTGATTTCAGTTATGGGATCTTCTGAGATACAGGTAAATTTTTGTGTCCTCTGTGTCATTTAAAGTCTCGGTTTACAGAAAACGTAGAAAATGGATTTATAGAGAGTCTGGATTTATTGAAAATGTAAAGTA